CTGCTGCTACTACTATTACTACCACCACCACTACTACTACTACTACTACTACTCCTACTACTACTACTACTACTACTACTACTACTCCCTACTACTACTGCTACTGCTACTGCTACTGCTACTGCTACTGCTACTGCTACTGCTACTGCTACTGCTACTACTGCTACTGCTACTGCTACTGCTACTGCTACTGCAGCGACGACGACGACGATGACTATGCCTATGCGTATGCCACGCCTATGCCTGCGACGATGATGAGGACGACAATGATGACGACGGCTGTATGATGACGACGACTACAGCGAGCAGCAGGAGGAGGACGACCATGACAAAGATGACGACGACGACTACCGCAACGACCAACGACGACGACGACGACGATGACGACGACGACGACAACAACAACAACTACTACTACGACTACTACTACCTACTAAGTGCTAGTACCTGCTACTAACAGCTCCTATCTGCTACTGCTCATGCTGCCGCTGTTATCGCAAGTAGTTTATCACGACTCGTACTGCCGCACTCCACCACGGCTGCGGCAGCATCCCCAGCGGCCGCAAGAACGACCATCCCTTTTACTATGCATCCTTCAGATGAGGTCCGTGCCCACGCGAAACTCAGCGTGCAGGCCTTCAATTCCACCCTCTCAGGGTTGTGGTTGTGATGGTTTTGGGGATTAGTTTTGGAGGTAGGAGAAGACAGCAGGAGCCCTGATTCAGTGAGTGTTTGGACAAGAGTTGCAACTTTTTCAACAGAAGGACATTTTTCGAGCATTGCCTAATTGTAGCCGTCATGATCCACGTCACCCACCTGCAGGGGCATTCAACATGAGCAGGCGACGTTAACTGTTGTCGTCACCATGGCTTTGTCAACCCTGCACCCGCAACCGAAACTCTACCGCCCCAAACATTCGACCCCAATCCCAAAGCCCTCCATTGCTATGTCCTTTAAGAGCGCGCGAAATGTTGCACCCGGAGTGCTGAATTGACGCTACTTCCGCCGTGATTTCTAGACCCGCGCTGGCCCACAGTCGCACCCCAAACTCCTTCCAAACTCCCCCCAAACTCCCTCCAAAAAGCCTTGCGAGCCCCAAACCTCTAAAACTTGCGCAGGTCCTCTCCCCTGCGATGCACCGCAGCGGAGCCCGCAGCCAATTCTGCGATGCCGACTACTTGGCCGCGCGGAAACTCGGATGCTTCTGAAAGGATGTGAGGATTGCCAAGTATTATTGGCGCCTTTCAATTGGATTTACAAGAGATATTTAAATGATATGCTAATTTATAGTGGACGAGGAATGTCACCACAATAATGGTGAGTCAAACGGAAAAAGTGCAAAGGAAACTGAGATGGCGTCTTGCCACGGACTAGGGGCAACAGCTTCCAAGTCTTTATGCAAAAATGATTATAGTTTATAGCAGTCTAGATTGCTGTCTCGCTATGATTGGAAATGCCACGCGGTGTCCTTTGGGTAGCCCCTCCACTTAGAGCCGCATTTTGGGGTGAGCTATGTGTGTATATTTGTATATGCATTTATTTATCTATTTATTGATAAGGGGGTACCTGCTTCACAGGAACCACAAGAGCCATCTTGATGGCAGCAGGAAGGAATCCCACTTTAGCATCAGTGACAGAAGAGCAAGATCTAACATCGGAATGCTGTTCACAATGACGGTCGTCGTCGGTGTAGTTCACAGCGGGAACCAATCAAAGTTGCAACCGCGTCATGTCATGAAGAGGATAGCAGGCAGAGCAGCTGCTAGGAGTATCATCAGACTGGCCATGTTTTCGTAGCAGCAACAGGAGTAAGAGGGGTGTGCAGATAGTTTGCAGCTGTGACAGCATTAGTGCAATGATGACACAAAAGAGCGAAAGCAGAAAACTAGAAAGCTTCTTCAGATTTTTTGGCTAGAAGCCTGGCTTTGCTGATGTGTCTTAACTGATTTGGCAGCCGTGCTGCGCCAGAATATGGTTGGGACCCTACAAACGCCCACGAGCATGGGGTGGCCGGGGACACGTGTTGATTCAAAATGGAGGGGTTCTCATGCTGATGATGCCGGCTCTGGCGGGGTCTTGGCATTTTTGGAGGTATAGTCCCCCTCAGTAGATAGAATATGAAATTCCCCAATGTCATGACAACACTTTCGGACACATTGAATTTAATCCCCCAGAATAATGGACTTCCCCATTCAACGGAGATGATGAGGACCGAGACGTAAGGGAGCCGTACATCCTAGATAAAGAAGTCACCATCACGAACCTCTAAAGACCCAGCAATCCAAACCCAACGCCCTGAGCCAAAACTGCCAAGGAGATGACAGCCCTCAGAATGCCTCACTGGCAGGCTCTAAGCTCTGTTTGATGCCTTAGGTCATTCCCACTGACAGCAGTTACCATCATAGATAGTAAGAGTTCTAATAGATCCCTAATAAAACCCTTCAAGGACAGTTACTGTAATTTGGAATGATTGAATGGAGACCCTAACATGAATTGTGTATCCTGCCGAAAAACCTCAGAAAGACTCTCAGGGATGGGCTCGGCAAGCCTGCCATTCTGTTTCATTTTACCTGTCCTAAATCAGCGTGTAAGGGAGCCTTCATTAACAACAGCCACCCCCGAAAGGCTAACCATCTTCTTCATTTTTATTCCGGCTTCTGGAATTTACTGGCCTTTGGTTAGCTAGGAAAGAAGGAATGGATCTTTATAGTAAGCCCTATATAACCCACTATAGTAGTTTCCATTTTTGTTTCCATTCCCCCATTCCCAGCTAACCTCAGGCCAGTTTAAGGTGGCTTTTTGTAAGCCTCATGGCAATGGATCTTGTGAAGACGGACAGAAGACATCCACCTCATGTGAGCCATAATCTAAACTCCTTAAAGGAAGTTATATAGGGGATTATAGAGGGGGCTACCATAGGGATTCTCAAGGGGGGTACTGTGAGCTTAGACTATAGCTCATGTGGGTTTCCCGTAAACCGTGAAGCTTGTACTCCACGTCTGCCAGGTCTCCAACAAAGAGACTAAAATGCAAGCAAGTGGTACATTTACGCAGGCATACTATAGTCCCCAAGACAGAGGAAGATGATATCCTCTGTTTAGGTACAAGAACATAATCTTACTCTGTTCAACCGCAAGAACAAGACGCTACTCAAGTGATCTTTTGGCTGTCCTTGTCAAAAAAAAGGTACTGTAGCCAGTTTACATCCACCCTTCACAGGAGGGCTTTGCGGCAGATCTCACGACCTTCCTCTCCGAACTTCTGGGCTTGCCGCCGGAGGTCGCAGCTCATGGTAGCGTGGTTCCGCCTGCTGACCCCTTGAATGGGCCTCATTGTCCCTAAATGATTTTAACTACGGGGGAACCTTTCGGAAGGGGGGCGGGTAGTAGAGGGATCCAAGCTCTCAATAGCTTGCAAGACTGGCGCCGGCAGTACATCCATGTTGTAGGTTGTGTAAGTTGGACAAGGAATATCAGCCACGGCAGCAGTAGTACTGACTGCTTACTGGCGCGTGGTAGGTAATAAGGGTATATATGTATATATATAGTATAGGGTTTCTTTGGGGCTCACTTTCCCATATTCCCCACTAACCAGTAAAGCTGCTTCTTATGAATGGTGGCCATAAAGCGTTCCCTGACCCCTGGGTTAGGCCCATTATAACCCTTATATACTCCTTATGTAATTTCCCATATGGTTCTAGGTGATCTGATTTTTAGATCCCTTTGGGGGTCTGCGCTGCTGGGACGCCGCAGGCCTTTGCACTTCGGGTGCGGCATGGCTGGAGGGGCGAGGGCGTATCTTTGCCTCAAATGAGCCTACTTCGTACAGGGGGGTTATGTAGGGGAGTACATAGGGGACTACTTCAGATTACAGCTCAAATTGGGGCTGGGGTTCAGTCAAGACTTGAGGGGTTTATCGAAGTCAGGGTTGCCTGTGCATGCGATGGGCTTTGTGCAATTTCGCTGGCTTTTACTTATGCACGTGGAGTTTTGAGAGTAGTTGTTGCTTTCTCCTGGACAGGGTGAACCCACCTGACAGAGTAGAAACTAGGGAGAGAAAAGGGTTGTATTGTCTTTTAGTCTGCTACTGTTAAAGGGGATTGGAGACCTAGATATGGGGCATAAGAGCGCTGACTTGATTGTAGCTTGCATGGTTGGATTTGTGAATTTCAACAGCTTCAGTAGTTGTGCAAGGTTTTGGATTCTGGTGTTCTGCTGAAACATCAGCATGAGGGGCTTGTTTTCCTGGCGTTTAAAGAGGGCTACCTGAGACAAACGAGCTATAGTCTAAACTCTTTGAAGTGTGTTATGCAGGGATTACATACATAGTGGGTAGTAACTAAGGGTCAGTAAGGGGGATACTGGGAGTTTAGACTACAGCTTATTTTACGTGAGGAAGCCGCTTTGGCCTGCAAAACAGCTAGTGAGCCGCGTTCTTCCTTACAAGGCGGACCCACTTACAATCTGGCACCAGAGTTTTTTTCTTCTGACAAGTGAGGTCATGTGGCGTGCAAGACGCTAGATCCCCGCCCCTTGATATTCACTTATTTCCCCAGCCCCTAATTTCGAATATATAAATATAAATATATATATATGTATATTTCAGAACAGTCCCCTCTCATATTTATATGTATATATATATATTTATGTGTAGATGCAGGTATATACGTATATATGGGGGTTGTTTTAAAGGTCTTTGTAAAGAAGGGGCCATTGGGAATGCACCTCCATAAAGGGGTGTCCTGACCAAACATGGAACCTAGATTATAGGGGACAGGTTTCTCGAACAACTACCATATGTAGATAGCAATATGTATATGTATGTATAGATATATATATATATATCTGTAGAGAGAGAGAGAGAGAGAGAGTGCTATAGAGCAGTTGCCTGGCATGACGTTTGCATCCCATACCCGGCAAAACTTCCAATATGTGAACTTCTGCATTTGGCAAACTTGGTGCCCTGGCACAGGGCCCCACACTCATGAGGCCAGGCCTTGTTTCGAGCCAAGTGGCAGGTTTGCAGGGATTCTGTAGGGAATCTTGAAATTAGTCCAGCCCAGAACGATCCCTGTAGGAAGGCGTGTAAGAAGGCTAAAGATACGGAGAATGATTTAAAAAACAAAGGCCAGCAGGTGATGACAGCAGCAAAGCCTTCAAATCGCCCAAGCCCAAGCTGCCAAAGCCCCTAACCTCTGAACCCTCCAACCTAGATTTTCTCCCAATTTTTTTTAAAGATGCTAATGTCTTAATGGTTTATAAAACATTAGCCTCCCCGCCTAGATATTCTCCAAAGGTTTGTGCGCAGCTCTCCTTCGGCTCCTGCGCGAGCCCTCACCACGCGGAGCTCTTGGACCGTAGCCTACGAGATGGTAGCCTAAGGCAGGGGTAGGGTAACAGTTTGGGTATCTGGTTCAGGGTTTCCTGTTTGGGGTCGGGGATAGGGGTTACAGTTGGGTGTGGTTTCTGGTTCAGGGTTTCTTGTTGAGGATTCAGGGTGGGAGTTACAGTTGGGTGCATGACTCTGAGGATTTCAGTTTAGGGTGTAGGGCCTTTGGTAGGATCCAGGGTTTAAGATTCACAGGAGTGGATTTCGGGATGTCTTCTCAGATGCTCTGGAAGTTAGCAATTGGATGTCGCCGAGCTTCTGTACGGCATTTCGGCGGCTCGAAGAAGATTCTACTATATATAAACGTCTGGAGTTCGCAAAGAGCCTCACGCTGCCCATGAGTAGGGGAAGTGAGCACGAGAAGAGCCTCCAAGCCAGAGGTGGCCTTGTAAGCCTAGAGCTGAGACAGCTAAACCCTAAACCAAACCATCATTTTTAAATAGTAGTTTCCATTTTATTTTCCATTATCCCAATATAACCCCAATATTACCCTAATATTACATTTTTTGGAGAGTCTTCCACTATTGATAGGGGCGGTGAGGGGGTTTTAATTTACTATCAGGGGGGGGAATTACAGCACCACAAGCCACTCCTACTGCAAGTGTTGAATCCGCTGCTTTTGCTCTGACTAAGCTGGGCCCCTTCCAACCTGATCGAAATCAACCGCCGAAGGGCTTAGCCCATAACTCCCAGATCCTGAGCCCATGAACCCAGGCCCATTTCGGAGCCTGTGTTTAGGGTTCAGGGTTTTGGGTTTAGGGTTCAGGGTTTCAGGTTTAGGGTAAGATCAGAAATCAAGACACATCCCCAACAAAAAAAACCATCTGCGTCTGAATGATGGAGTCCACTGCTCCAAGACTGACCTTGTACAAAACACACTAGTACAACACCTGCTCTACAGATATGCTAGTTTCCCTAAACAGGGGGACTCCAATGTAGACACCGAAATGCTATATTCCTCATTTTGGGGACCCCGAAAAAGGTACCCCTAATGTTGGGAAACCCCCCAAGGTTTGGGAAGGCCGCGGGCGGTAGGATACTGTAGTAAAGGGTTTAGAGTGTCTGTCCAACGTCATCTGATGCTCGCAAAGAGGGCTTAAGTAAATTGAACGATTTCTCACGGTTCACAGATTCTAGAAAACCAGAGAACCTGTACAGGATATACGTGTCAATTTATTTGAACCTGAGTAAATTGGTCCATAGGATCAATTTACTGAAGCTCGGTTTTCTAGCACACGCTTTGCGGAAATCCGACAATATAATACTGTCAGACACGGGATGCCCCCACTCACCTCGGGGTTTAATTAATATAAATCCCAAAGCGGGGCTTAAGTGGGTTTGCCACGCCTGCCAGGGTTTCGAGTGGGTTTTGGGGATGCAAGCAGGTACTCGAAGGATGGGGCAACCATAATATCAAAGTTGTCACAGCTGTAGTGGGGCTTTGAAGGAACGATTACTTACATTTCTCCCCCTACACAGCCGGCAAATCCCCACTGCTTAGAAATTCTTGTCCCTTGCCTTACTGTAGTCCTTGACTCTGACCCTGAACCCCCAAGCCTAACATGCCAAAAGCACCTGAGATCCCAACCTCAAGCCTAAACCCAAACCTCTACGCCACATTCTACGCCTCATTCTGTATTTCAGGCGTTTGGTGCTTCGAAGCGGCTTGGGAGAGAGCTCATGGCCTGTTTCCCAGGCCCTCAAAACCTTGCGCTGCTGCATGCTGGGTGCTTTAAATGGTGAGAGGTGGGGATTGGTACTTGCAAGCAAGCGCCTGGATTTGAGACCGCCATCAGATCCCAAAGACCGACGCCCGTGTTTACGCTGGTCCAGGCGTCTTGAGCCTTGGTAACCCTCTGTCCAATGAACTTAGAGTGGTTCTGGTGCTGCCCTTTCTTTCGTGTCCAAATGATCTCATCCCCATGGGCGCCCGAATCTCCACGAGACGTAGGGATTAAAGGGGGTCATAGGGAGTACATAGGGGTTATATAAGTATTTCATAAGGGTGAGATGAGTATCATGCCCGTAGGGGTTATTTCAGGATCATGTAGGTTTTATGAGGCTTAGGAATGGGCTTAACATGGATTATGTCGGGGTTATGCAAGGATTATGTAGGGTATATACAAGGAGCCTACAGGGGCTCTACAAGGCTGATATAGGCGGTCTATCTAGGGGTCAGAAAGTGATGACATAGGGGTTACAAAAGACGCGTGTAGGGGCTATGTAATACAAAGATTTCACAGGGGTTATATAAGAAAGTGTCTAAGGGTTTTGTAGGCGTTATATAACAAAGTTACTAGGGGTTAGCAATAAACGAGGGAGTGTAATCCCTATATTATCCGCATAGAATATCTTCCTTATTCTCTACTAACCCCCAGTCAAATAAGAGTTTACATAACCCAAGCTCTAAACGCTTATATGAGGAATGCATGAGGATTATTGCTACTCACCTAAACCCCAAACCCTTCATGTAAGGAATACATAAGGATTCTTGCAGCAGGTGTTGCGGCAGTTCCTGCTGCGCGACGTTGTGTGCCAAGTGTGCGGCCCTTAGGGACGATGTTCAGGAACACCCGAGCCCTAAACCACTATAACACCATAGAAGATATAGTTCCCTTTAAGTAGATAAGGGTTTAGGGTTGAGGGTTCTCGTCCGCCTTGACATGAGTGGATACAATATGGGGTATATGGGGATCTTATGATGACTTTAGGTAATTCCATATTCTATCTACTTGACTATACAAACATTTCATGAGTTCCCTATTAGCCCTCTCTATATCCAAATAACGCTAATCAAGTGGGAAACTCTGGGGGGGTGGGAAGGGGGGTGGTGGGGGAACCCATGATCACCAATTTCGAAAGTGCTGTGTTTGCAGTGGGATCCACGTTGCATCATTCCCCAGAGTCCTTTCAGTCCCACCAGGTTTTGGGTCATGGAGCGGCATGAGTGGCGAATACCCAACTTTCCACGGGCCCTGGCCTGAGCCTCCTCAGGTAGTCATCTGTGCTTCATTATAAGGAGGTTTCCCGAAATTAGGGGTACCTCTTTGGGGATCCCTATATTAAGGATTAGAGTCTTTTGGGGTCTATATTGGGGTCCCCCTATTCTGGGAAACTACCATAAATGTACGTTCACATCCCTGCAGCTGTAGTAGTTTCCGACCCAGTTTCAAACATCGATCTTGTGTTGCCACTGTGGGCGCATCACTCCCGCATTCCGATAGCCGGTGCCACTCTGACCGCTTCGCCTCCTCCTCCGCCTGCTCCTCATCTTCTTTCTACCCATGCTCCTCCTGCTACTCCTGCTGTCGCTGCCGGCGTTGCTAAACGTGTCACTGCTACTGCTAATGCACCTGAGGATGGACACCATGTTTACTATTACCAGTTCTAGCAACGTTCACCCTCGCAACACCTACGGCAACACAACAAAAGTTCGAGGAGGAGGAGGAGGAGGAGGGCGACGACGACAGCGACGCCAATGACAACTAGTACCCTTGTCTGACTTCTGCTGCAGTATGACTATGGCTGCTGTTGCCGCCGCCACTGCTCCTCCTTATCCCGCTCAGGATGCATAGTGCTTGCTATCGCTGCCTGAGCTGCCATTGCAATTGCTGGGCCCGCCGCGGCCCCTGCCAACGTCACCGCCACTGCCGCAAGCTGCCACCATGACGACAAAACCGCTACAACTATCTGGCTTCCAACATGTTTCTTGCCGCTGCTTTTGCCAGTCCAGACATTTTGTGCATGAGCAAGTTCACTCCTGTCGTTCATGCTGACAAGCCAAGTATGCCATCTGGCTAAATGGTGCCTCAAACCCCTGCCCTAGTGCCTTGGGCAGCAGCACCTTTCCCATGTCGCCAGGTTGCGCAGAATTTCAACGCTGTCCTAGAATCTATGCCCTTTGACTTTGGAGGAGGCACGGTGAGTTCTTCAATTGCTGCCGATGCAAGTGCAAGTTCACAATTTTCTTAACGCAAGTATTTGTACTGCTCACTGCCATCAAGTTCCGAGGCACTATGCCGCTAGGCTCCACAATTCAACCATCAATGTTGCAGACATGAGCATCAGCATCACTGAGAGATAATGAAGTGCAGATGATGTTAGTAGTGGTCGGCGGCTTTGCTGCCGCCGTCATTGTCGTCGTCGTCGTCGTCGTCGGCGTCGCCGCCGTCGTCGCCGCCGTCGTCGTCGTCGTCGTCGTCGCTGTCGTCGTTGCCATCGCAGTCTGTGGTTTTCCGTAGTCTTCATAGTTGTACGAATTTGGGTTGTCATCGTGCCTCTGACTATGGCTGTTGCTAGTGCTAATATTGTTCATAGTAGTAGTACTGGTAGCAGAAGTAGCGCTAGCAGTAGTAGTGGCAGCTAGCGGAGTAGTAGTAGCAGTATGAGCCATGGTAGTAGTCGTCGTTGTCGTCGTCGTTCTAGTTTCAGTTCTAGTTCCTCAAAGTTTAGTACTGGTAGCTGTGGGGTTGGTAAGTACGGCTTTGGTGGCACGGTTCGCACAGGTGATGCTATTGGGAGATAATGGTCTGAATCTATTAAAGACCAACCAGCATGATGGTGAAGCCCATGGGTACTGGGATCGCTTCCGAGCGCAGGCAGCAACTTGACGCTCCACCTGCATCCAAACGGCTCTTCTCACCCTGGCATTGGAGGTGCCTGCGCAGCGCCTACTTCCTGCAAAATCCTGTCAGGTTTCTAAGTTTAAGCCGGGAAATATGAGTGTAGAACCCGTATGATTGCAAGCAGCAGTCACTTCTCTCCCAAGACAGGCCCTGCCCAGTGAAAGTGTGTTCTTGTGCTTATGTTCTCGTTGCTTGCGCCCAATGGCAGGACTCTGCATTACTGCTGGTCATCCTGTTCAAGCATTTCTTCTTCTGATGGCTGCTGCTAGAACTGCGTCCCTCACCTCCACCATACACCATTGCTGGTAGAGTAGCGCTTTGGACTTGGTTTGCGTCTGCGCAGGCTCTGCAGCCTTAACGCTGTCTGCGGCGGGTCACGGACGTCCAATCTCGCCATTTCTGCTGACTGCAGGACGCGTTTGACCTGGTTTCCCTGAGCGGTGGTTTCTGAACATAGTGGACCCTTTGTGGGAGGTTCCCGCAGATGCTACAATTACGAACTAAATATCAACATTTTGGAGGTTTGGGAAATTACGAGCGTGGACACTAGCATGCGTTCACCTCGGCTGCCGGAGACGGGGCGCAGAGAGCTTATGGCACCAGGCGTTCAGGGTTTTGGTTTTGGGATGCATGAGAATTCAGGGTAGGGTTCACGGTCCGGGATGCAAGGCTTCGGACCTTTAAGGCGAGGGTAAGGAGGTGGCGTGGAACATTAGGTGCAAATTGCGTAGGAACCAGGTAGAGCAGGGCGCTAGGCGATTTTGGACGTACGAAGCCCCGTATACTCTTGTTGCATCTGCCCGCCTGCGTGCAACATGTTGCGACAACAACCACCAGCGTCAGAAAGGTGAAGGGCTTCAGATTCCATTGTAGCATGTGCTGATGAAGGTGAAATGAAGCTCAACGGAAGGCGTTGCTCAGGAGCACCCAGCTGGACTGCTTGTTTGAAGCAGTACACAGCTCATCGCCTGGGAGGACTGAGACCCACCAGACCCCGCTGTTGATCCCTGAGGTTTCTTCTCTCAGGATCACTACCTCAAAGTCTGCACCTTGATTCAGCGTCGGTAGCCTACTGAGAGCTGAGTCAAGTTGGCCGACCATTCAGAGGCATGTTCACGACACGCGCATGCTTCACTTGGAGAAGAGGCTTCCTTTTAACTCTACATCCCTCAAGCTCCCTCTGGGGACCTGATCCTACAACCGTGGACGTCTGCCTGCAGCCACATATGGCCCCGAAACTCCCAATCCCTCAATAGGATATGGGACTCCCCCACGAACCCAATGAAATTATCGCCCTGCTGGAATGGTAATGGAAGTGCTGCATACGGCGCCCCTATATTCTCGCAATAATCCCCAATTATTCCCAGGGTCACTACTGGTCCTCCTTGCTTCAGAACCCCCTACTTGTTTCCGAGTGCCCGCAAGGAATCAGCGGCGAGATTTGGAGTGGCCCCTACGGCCACCGCCTCGTCCAGCCACGAGTTTCCCAACTTTTTTGGGGGGTCCCTGTAGTATTTCGGCTTTTTCTTAGGGTCCCAGGGAAACTACCGTATTCAATCGTATTCCTAATTCAGGGGACGCCCTGGCCGGCACCGTACCTTGATTCTAGGCAACTTTCCCATGAAGGAGTACAACGGAGCTTCAAGAAGATGTTTTGTCAGAACATGGATGAAGCGTGTGGCAAGCCCGCATCCTTGTCGGTGCCGTTGTTGCGTCTCAAGCTTCTAAGTACATTTTTGAGCCCTATGAAGGCACACTCTTGAGCGTGTGATACTCTTGAACGTGTGAGAGCATGGAGGTTCTGCGCAGCACAGCGCTTGATTCAAGTTCCTCTCGAAATGCACTGCCATCATGGGCGCAAGACATCATTGAAGCAGCATGCACAGATCAATTTGCTTGGCCACATGCTGGTGCTGCAGCTCAATGCCCTTTCTGCCACACGTGGGTCCAACCATACTGGCCATCAACACACACACACACACTCATTTGCTCCGTGCCCAGACACTCCTAGTTGGGAGAACTGCCCCAATAGTTGGATGGTTGGGCACCGGAGGGCACAGCATGTCTTTGAAATTTTTAGGTTTTGCAGTTCTGGCATGCCACTCCTCCCAGCTCGACTCGGCTTCATGCAGACTTACTGGGGGTCAGTAGGGCATAAGGAATATCTTATGTAGGGATTCTATTCCCTGAATTTCCTACCAGCCACCGGAAAGCAGAGCTGCCTTCATAGCATTTGCCAGATTCCGAGGTCGCGACGGTGCGAATCGTTTTCTTGCAGGCCAGACCCGGTACAGAATTCATAGGGCAAGTTGAATAGCCAACAACAATTCCGGTTTCTTCCTTGCGTGTCAAGGGGAGTTGAAGTTTAGTTCAGGAATCAGCGTCTGGGCCCTTCATGTGCCTTTGACGTTTTCTACGCCCTCGGGTTGAAATGGCGCCAGCATTCTTAAAAAGACCGTCCTTCAGTTCAATGCAAACATCATTTGCCATATCGTCAGAATCCGTACACAACTGAAGTCTAGACTCAGAGTCTAGACAACAAGGAGGTTTACGGTATTATCGTAGGACTTTTATCGAGCCCTTATCAAAGATGTCGGGGTTTACCACGTTTCCTTTTCATTTGGTACTTGATGTTCCATTTGATTCTCAGTTCTTACGGTAACTAGTACCTAGAACTAGAACCCTCTCATTGCCTATAGTCATCCCTCTGTCATCCTCTATCATCTTTGTAAAGCTCTCTATAGCAAGAATTGTTGTTCTCTTGGACGTTACCAAAGCCCTCTTACTGCGCTCACTCTCACTCTCCCTCCCTCTCTCTCTCTCTCTAT